AGTTTCTCTCATTAAGGATAGATAATTTTTTTTATCCTCCTCCCAGGTCAAATGGGCACTAGTAGTCCGAATGGTTAGGTTATGTTAAGGATAAACTTGTGTAATTACCAAAGCTGAAAAGATTTATTTGGCTTTTAATGTTGTCTGGGAAGTTTCACTATTTTTGGGTACTTGGGTAATATTTTTAGTTTTTCATTCACTTGCAGCAGACAGGGTGTTGGGTTTATTGAAGATAAGAGTTTTGAGGAAGATCTCAGATCACAATTATGCGAAGGAAGAGGCTTGGTATTTATATTTTTTTATTAGAAACTTGCTTTAGTATTGCCTGCAGTTATATCAATCCTACTTGCTACATAAAAGCTAATCAACTGCCTTTTATTTCCAGTGGAAAAATTTTGCTCAGTGAAGCAAAATCATTTTTGCTACCAAATTTGAGGGCTATAGCTTTCACTTAACAGTATCAGCTTGGTCAGGACTTCACAAGAGAAAAATGGTTGACCAGTACTGAATGTTATGTGATGGATTATCTGATCAGCAAATTCAGTGTGATAGTTTATGGTTTTTCTGTTGAAGATGGCACTTATACTTTAGTATGAGATCAGTTACTCTGAATGATATGATTTTTTATGCAGTTATATCTTCATTTCATTGCTCCTTATGGCACTTGAATTAATGTAGAACCGAAATTAATAGTAGAATGAAGAAATTCACCTTTTACGAAGCACAGTAACATTTTGCGTAAATGAATATGTGGAATGGTAATAATTATGTACATCAGGTTGTGATAGGCATTATGAATATTGACTAGCCTTCAAGCAATTTGGTAGCAAAGAATGTTAAACAAATTTGTTTTTAAAGAATTAGCATAGGTTTTCCGAGTTGTCAAGTGGGCAATTCATGTTGACTCAAAGTTTTTAGTGTATGTGCTGATGATCCTTGTCTAAATATTCACTTTGCCATAAGTCCTTTCTCTTTACCTTGCTAATGAAGTACCAGTTGAGACAGACGATCAGGGGTATGACACAAGAGATTACAGTGACCTTCAGATTGACAGTTTCGGTGTTGTTCATTCCAGGATCGCGAAATGAGCTGGTATGAACCGAACTCCTGCGAAGTTTAGCCCTGCACCCTCCACCATTCTGCATATTATATTATGTCTGAAAAACTCGATCCTTCTGATATTATGTCTGGCCAGATGTTTTGAATTGCCATCCTTGCTGGTTTTTTCATTCACTGAATTAGCTAGGTATATGACTCCATGATCTCAGATACAAATGGCATTCATTTGTTTTGCATTGTAGGGACGTCTCCCGATAACATGCCTCATCTCACATTTAAATAACTAAGAATAGACCTTATTATATATTAACGAAATGAAAATTGTTAGAGGAAGCCCCGTCATTTCTGTTTGATGATTGCTGTATTTCCATATGTTGTTCAAAGCTGTTTATCAGTAGATGTGTAAAAACCTACAAAAACAAATATTATTCATATAAAGGAAAGATGCCTTCAATTCCATGCTTACATATTTTTTCATCCCACTGAGGTGGGTAATGTACAGAGTATTGGGGATTGAGGTTAATATGAAAGGGTTACCCTCCGGATTTGTAATGCTTATGAGTATCTGATAGACTTTTTTCTCAGTTATATACACAGTACCTGATTTAGATATGTCTTAAAAATCCAAGTCATGTGATTTGTTAACTGACACCATGGATTTAATATTTATTACTCGTGAAACAAGAATACAAAGAGGTTTGTCATGATTAATGAAGTTTTGCTAACTTTGCCTCAATTGAGAAAGGCATTGGTGCAATAAACTAAGACTCCTAATGCCTTTATTAGCTTTTAAAGAATGGTTTCACAAAACTATATATTTACTATAATTTTTTTGCGTTAATTCAGTCACCTAAAACAAGCTCATGCAAGTCAGGCAGTGAAGCTGTCACTGCCATTGATGATCTCCGGATGAGCTTGTTGAAGCTTCAGTGTGATGCATTACAAGGGTCATTTAGTTGTAAGGGACTGTGAAATGTGCTCATTCCAAAAGTGTAGTTATATATATTTTATATAATTTGGTAAAAGGATTTTGTCTTAGAGTATTTTAGTTCTCTAGAAATTTAGAGATGGCATTGAATGAATTTTTTTGGTTATTGATGTATGTCTAACTAACTTATAGTTAAAAGTTTTATACTTTGGGTTCACTTTGGTAACAATCCATATTTTGCAATGCTCAACACTTAAATTGCCAGTTTCACATGTAATGTTCTTCTTGGCTTAAAAGAATATTTCTAGGTTATGAAATAAATCTCCATGATAAATTGTCCATGGGAGTTGGATAGTCTAGTACGAACACGTGCTTATACAGTATATCACTAACTAGTTAGTTGTTCTTTATACTCAGGGTTAGTCAACCACTGTCAAAGGCACATACTGATGCACATGTTTGTCTATTGACGCCTAAAAAGGAATTTTAAGTAAGCCAGTGTGTACCTTAGCACCTCACATTTTCATGTGGAGCTCATTGTTGAGTTCCAATTTTGACATGTGGAAAGAGTGTATGCATTTAACAGAATCTGTTTCTTTTTTATAATATATATATATATATTGGGGAGGTATTGCACTTAGATATAACTAGATCATCTCTGCGGATTAATTGGTTGAAACTGGTTAACAAAAGTCAGTTTAGTAAAGGTTTTGGGATTTAGCATGACCAGCAAGGATGAAGCACTAGTTGTTGTACAAGGAAAGGCATGTTAAGCAAAAACAACCAAATTGTTGTATTAGTGCAGATTTGTTCATGCTTTTTATAAGGCTTATCACTATTTTATTAATATTATTTGGTACATGATGCTGCTGTGTTGCAGCTTTCGGCGATCTTATATGCTATTAATACATACAGTATTTAAAGGCCAATCTGCCTTCTATGGCTCAGTTCAGCTTTACATTTATAAAAACCTGTTGTTCATGATTCGCTTTTGTTGCAATATGCGAAGTTTGGATAGTTCTTTGCTGTACTTTCTCTGGTAGTGTTTTATTTCAGTACTGTCATTTGATGGACAAACTGCCTTAAAGGGTTGTCATTAAGAAAGTGGCAGTTCACCTGGGTCACTGAAGGTAGAAAGGCATAAACACTTTCCAATGTGTATTTGAATAAAGACATTATTTTATGGTTTAACTGTGGCATGGAAAGTTTTTATCATCATTATTACTTTTACTAAGGGGAGGAGTATAATATTAAGGATTTGATAAGATTATTTGATTCTTTACTGATTAATATTTAGTAGATATTGTTTTTTATATGAATATTAAACATCTGTTCTATTTTGAAAATTTTCTGCTCAACTAGGAGACCTCTGAACCTGTGTTGTGCTGCAATCTGTAGGTAGTGTGGCATAAGATCAAAGAAGAGAGACTTCTTTAATATTTCAGGCTAATTGTTGTTCTTTACAGGAATGGCAAAGACAGCTGATTATATTTATATATATAATATTTATATATATATATATTTACATTTACTTATATATGACTAGTCTTACGTGTTTTTCTTTTTTCGTATGGTGTAAAATTTTCGTGTGGTATTTATTGACTTCTGATCTTGCACTTATATATAATTTTTATCATTGTTTTATTTGGATGTTATAGTTGTGTAGGTTGCCCACAATTGCTTGATCAGAAGTGATTAGATTCTACGTGTTTATACTTTTCTGTTCTATTGCTTACTGAAATATGACCAAAGAGCCAGTTGTGATACAACTTTAGTTTGTAAAAAAGAATAATTATCAGAATTGGCCTTTTTTTATGTGACTGGATTAGTGAGACAAGCATTGACACTGCTTCAGGAATCTTAAAAAAAAATGTCAAGTTCTTGCTAAGCATCATCCCTTTGTAGCTTAATGTAGAACTTCATGAGGCTGATTTACCACGTGTTGTAAATAGGAAAATAAGCCTATGAAGGTCTATGAAAGCTAACGTGTTGTAACATGCACTCCTTCTTCTTAGCATGTTGTGTTGCCAGTTAGTAAAAGATAATGTCCAGAAAGTTTGCATTATATATGAAGGTGTGATTATGGTGTGGGTTGTATCCCCAGCCTCTGTCAGTCACTTAAATTCATGAATATTTCACCCTTTTTTTATAGGTTATATATTATTTTTGTGATATCTGTGGATTAATATGAAGAGTGAGTGTAAATTGACTTGCTTTAGGCCTTTTGCTGTGTTGTACAAGGAAGAGCCTGTAGTAAATAACTTTTTTTTTATATTTAACTGCAAAAAAGGGATGGCTTTATTGTGTTTGTCAGTCATGTGATACTAAGATTTCAATTTTCAAAAAGGTAAATCCATTTACAGCTAATTATGTACAACTTAATTTTTAAAAGTAAATATGAAAGACAACTGAAGCTTGTTGAAGATACTGAAGCAGTGTTTGTTAGTATATAGAGTATTAATTTTATACAAAAAAATATGTAGGACTTTGATATGTTACGCGTGTTGCGTATTTGATATAAAGCTCAACACAACACACTACTATGTCCTTATATGTGTACATTATGCACAAAATTCCTAATGATGTGTGTATGTAACTGCAAGTATGATGTCAGAGAGAGAGAGAGAAGGTTGATGATGCACACACACTCATGGTAAGGTTGTCAACTACATAGATCTTAACTCCTTGAATCTTCCTGTGACATAGTCAATCTAGGTGTAATGATTAACTTTTCCCAGACAATTATTATTATTATTATTATTAGATCTAAAAGAATGGCTCTGATTGATGTCTAGTACTTGTTTATAGATCACTGATTATTATTGAATAATAATTAAATGTGAAACTAGATATAAGTATTTTAATGAGTACAAATTTCGGTGCCTAGACATTTACCAAGCCTAATGTAAACAATTTTGTTTTCAAATTTTGTGGTTGTATGTGTGAGATTGTAAAATGTTGAATGTGCGGCCCTCCTGAGTCTAATGGCGGATGATCGCCCATTGTTATGTAGGATGACTTTGCTGATGGAGACCTGTATGATGCGGTCCTCACGGGCGGAGGAAGAGAACGCGAACGTGAGGCCCCTCCCAGCCCACCCCCAGCCTCAACAGAACGTAATGGAGGCACTGCCCCTACCCGCCAGTCATCTTCTCAGTCTCAAAGAGGACGGTCCATGTCCTCTGAAGAGCGTGCAGCCTTCTCTGGCCCCGTGCCACACACTGGACGCAAATACCAACTGTATGTGGGCAACTTGACCTGGGTGAGTGGAGAGTTGTTTGAAGATTTTTTTATATTGTATGATTTATTCTTATTTATAACTCACTGGTTAGCATTCTGGAAAACATGTTCTTACCCATTGCCTAAATCTAATTATAAATTATGCCAAACTTTAGTAGCTTTTATATTTGAAGGAAATTTCGTATTCGTGCTTGCGTGTTTATGATCTTTGTGCTGTGATGTCTATATACCACTTCAATGTAATAGAAATGTGTTGTAAATGGCTATAGATGCATAGTATAACAAGGAGATCTCTTATTTATTTGAAGTGATTGAAAATGCTATGCCATTTTATTAGTATTTATTAGGAATATTTTGAAATCATGTGAATGGTTTGTTTTTCTGAAAGCATTTACATTGGAATAATTTTTAAGGCAAATTGATAAGTCAGTGTATGGCTTGCTGCAGTAACCATTCATTTTTTCACATTTTCAAATTTTTTATAATCTGCAGGTCACCACAAAATGAATTCAATCCAAAGCTTCTTTAATTTGTAATATTTTGTGATATTATCCATAAAAATTGTGGGATGACAAGAAGGGTTCATATAGTACAGAACATTAATGTATTTAATACACAACCAGAGCATAATAATGCCATACCAACCTTGCCTAGCATAGATTAGCTTTTATTTTAAAAATTTGGAGTCCATGGCAGTACCAACTGTTACATATAATCACTGAAAGGCAAGAAGTTCTGATGGTTTAAGTAAATAAAAAGAATGATTTGCAAAACTTGAGCAGAAATTAGATATTTGAAACGTTGGATAAGGTCATGTTGTGTAGTATACAATATTGTAGTTCCTGTGTCCATTTACCCACCTTGCTTTTGGGAATGCAACAGGATTTTTTCTTCATTTACGTGGATAGTAGCCTTTGTACAGTTCTGTAATTATATTTCCTGGGTGCTGTAATGTACAAAGGACATTATCAGCTGTCGATTATAATTAATTTATCTATATTTCATGATTGTTGACTGTTACAACTGTAAAATACAGATGTATGATAGATTTTAAACTTTTGAGTTCCCGGTATGTTACATCATATGTGTATTGTGTTGGAATTGAGTTTATATTCTCATAAGTTTAAATAATTTGCAGTGATCATACTCTCAAGGTTTGTGGAAGACTGAATGGTAATTTTTTTTTAAGGTGATAATTACCACAAATAAGTAATTCAACAAAGCCAGTGTTTGTGCTCAACTTTTGCTCTGGGAAGATAATGCCAGAGTGTGCTAGTACTGTAGTATAATCTTGGTATTTAAGGAAAATTTTAGATGCTATTTACATATTAGTCCATGTGTGATATTGTGAACTAACAGAGAAGTATTACTGGTGTATGAATAATACTAGCTTCTGTGTTACCGTTGTAGTTATACTTTAATGATCTTCTTGGAAATTTGTTGTAGAAAATATTAAGAGCATCAGTGTCAACTGGTCAGCTGTTGATCCTGGCAATCCAGTGTTGTTATTTGCATTGACCATGTTCTTATATATATATATATATATATATATATATATATATATATATATATATATATATATATATATATATATATATATATATATATATATATATATATATTTTATATATATATTTATATATATATATATATATATATATATATATATATATATATATATATATATATATGTATATATATATATATATATATATATATATATATATATATATATATATATATATATATATTTATATATATTTATATATATATATATATATATATATATATATATATATATATATATATATATATATATATATGTATATATATATATATATATATATATATATATATATATATATATATATATATATATATATATATGTATATATATATATATATATATATATATATATATATATATATATATATATATATATATATATATATATATATATATATATATATATATATATATATATATATATATATATATATATATATATATATATATATATATATATATATATATATATATATATATATATATATATATATATGGTGTACTATGAAATTAGTAGTACAACTGGACTCTAAAAGAGAGATCCAGGGTATAAATACTTGTTTAGTCTTCTTGTTCACTGTAGTATTTGTTACCATCATCATTGTCTATAAAGAGCTTTTCTTGCTGCTTGGGTCTCTGCATGTATACACCTGAGTATTGTCGAGTGTTGTCAAATGTCACAGCCTATATCTAGAACAGAAGGGGTTGTAAATATCCAAAATAAAAAACTTTAAATTGACAACGTGTGATGGAAAGTATCCTCCCGAAACTTTATTGTTGCTCTGTGTAGCTTAGTAGCCATTTGGCTGATGGTAGTGCATTTAGGGAAAACAGAAAGGAAGTTTTGTATTTATTCAGTAGCAGGTGTGTGGTTGATGATCTCCAAGCTTGAGTACAATTTTCTGGAACTCTTGGAGGACTATACTCTTGGAAACTAAGGTAGTATTTTAAGGTAATTTATTTATGTTGTACAGATAGAAGGTATCCACACGATCTTACTTAGTTTAGCCAAGTTTAATTTGATTGCAGACATGAGGTTTATTCTTGAGTTCTTTGACTTTTTTATGCTCCTTTTTTTTATTTGATTTGGTCTTTGTCTACCAGTTTTTTTTTTTTTTTTTTTCCATAAAAAAAATACTAATCTAGACCACTTCCTCCATCCTTCCTTTCCCGTAGGGAATCCCCGGAAAACTACCACAAAGTATTCGGCATACACTAGCTCATATATTAACCAATTTATATACAGCTATTCCCCGACTTACGACCTACTCAACTTACGACTGCCTCAGTTGTACCAAAATTTTGTCAAATTACGTATTTTCGAGTCCCAACGTCAGTGATTGCGCTGTGTACTGACAACATTTTCGTTTGTAATTCACTTTAAAATGGCTGGCAAGCTTAAAAGTGAGAGTTGTGGTGCTGAGAAGAAAAAGAGATGCCCATTTTAGATTTTCTATGTATTTAAGTATTTTTTACTTATACCTTGATTTGGGTCCTTAACCCTGTCGTTAGTCAGGGAGGAGCTGTACTACAAAATCTCTAAATAAATAAATTAAGAATTTATGGACAAAATAGGGACTTTGTTGTTGTTAGGGTAATAAAATTAATGTACATTAAATTTTTACATTGTAAATTTGCTACTGGCCATTTTGACTGATTCTTATTTGGTTTTGGAATGAAAGTTTAATTTATTTAAAAGTCAAAGGTTAACCCAACTTTGATTAATCTCATATTACTTCATTTTCACAGTAGTCACCCCCCCCCCCCCCCTCCCCCTTTGTGAAGTGCACTAAACTAAAGAGCACAATATTCCTACCATGTTTGAATCCTCTATGGGGCCATTTACATCAACATATTGTGAAACTCCCATGTACAGTACAGTACTCGGTAATGGACAAATAAAGTAGTTACAAAAAGGGGTGTTTATTTTTAGTTTGCATATACTGTATGAAAGAGAGAGCTAAGCTTAGCAGTGTTCCTTATATCACTACTGATTAATTTTTTTTGTCTAGATTTTGCAAGACATTGAAATCTATCACTGCACGAGTTTTGGTTACATGGGGTATTATTTTTTATGGGAATTTAGTGAACCTGTTCCTGCATTATGTTGTTGTTCATGCGGATCCACTACATTTTTATCTTGCACATTGGTGTAGTCTTTTTCATACCCTTGGACTCTATTTTGTAAAAGTCAAATCCACATTAACAATCATGTTTGGTGTTTGCAAACCTACTACAGGTCTCTCTTTAGGTGTCCATCTTTAAAAAGATATTGATTGTTGCTCTTCTATGCCTGTTACTTTTTCCTCATATCCTTAGCAGACCTTGTAATATGATTAGTCAATATTGAATTAATTTTTTTTTCATGCAACTATTTTCTGATGATCCAGGCCACAGCCATACTTTTCAGTTACTGATTATTGAGTGTAGGCACAGAACATATGGTACCCACATTGTGTAGTCAAGTTGTTGATTTGTGTGTGCAAAACAAAGGGCCAAAAGGTAGCAAATTCTGTGGTTTGGATATGAGTGAGACTGAGTTTTGGTCATGCAAGATTTAGATTGTTCTGCACCCTTGAAAGATGTACAAATTTGGCCAGTTGTAACTTTTGTTCTGTTTTATCAGCCTGTCCAATAAACCATATAGACCTCAGAAGACATTGAAGTCTAAATGCACTATACTATCCACAAGTTGAACAACAATGGAATTGAAAGACACTTTCACTTAGAAGTCAACCATTCACTTAGTTCAGCAAGTTGATCAGTCAGTGAGTTGCACTTTTTTAGTCTTTTTGTAAAGCTTGTGCTATACACCACTGATATTCTTTAATTTTGAGACGTTATTCATTCTTCATCACTCGTACTAAGCTGGCCATTCATGTATATTAGCAGCTTACCCCATTTGGCAAACATGCTTCTCTGATATGTCTAGATCAAACAACTCAGATGTATTCTTTATCTTTCTGTCTTCACTTACACAGACCTTAAAAATATAATTACCTTTTCCATGTCAGCTCAGTTACTGTCATCTTGTGTGTATCTCAAGTACTAATATACTTCATAAACAGACTATATTTTGTCTTTGGGTTCTATCAGCTGTGTTAAAAACTAATTAGGTGCCCCTAATGTACTCCCCCAAACCACATTTGCATGCTAAAAGTTTTGGGAGATGTTCCAATACTACATGTATATTAGGGCTGCTGGGTCATGGCCTTTGCAAGCCCCACATTTCATAATTTTTAAGATAGTCCAATACCAAAAAAAAAAAAACCAGAAGAATATGTTCATTGCTTGCTGCATATAATATCCACAGACCTCTCACCCTTTTCATATCGTTTTAACAAATCTAGTTTCTCGACTTAAGCTTTTACACTTTCTTTAGCTTTTGAACCAGGACTACCATCACTTGCTCATGTTGAATAGGGATGCAAAAATGCCGTAAGAAATCAGAGAAA